TGCCCCGAGAGGCTGTGGCTGCCCCATCCCTGGAGGTGTTCAAGGCCAGGTTGGACGGGGCTTGGAGCAACCTGGGCTGGTGGGATGTGTCCCTTCCAATGGTGGGGGGTGCGGAACTGGGTGATCTTTTAGGTCCCTTCCAACCCAAACCATTCTATGCCATGCTTAGGCTGGATGGACGCTTGTGGAGCAGCACAAGGAGCCTCTCCTGTTCCCAAATCCCCAGAGCGGCTGAGTTTGATGAAGGAGGTCACCAAGAACATCTCTGCAGCTGCAGGGAGGCTGTGTAGGCACCCCCGCACACTGCCCTGACTCCCACAGGGACGTGTATTTTGAACAAGAAAGTGGCCATCCCTGAGATGGAAACTTCCTGAGGGAGGAGATGCGCTGGGAAGTATTTGCCCATGGCCACATGCATCTCCTAGGTTGGCTTCTAATTTATTGCAGAAATGGGAAAATCAGGCTGTGACTTCACTGCCAGGGCAGGCCACCAGTGGGTTCCACAGACATCCATCCGAAAAAGGTCCCTTGGTGGCTCACAGGGTTTGCCCAGGCCGTGGGTCTCTGCCCAGTTTGCCGTGAGCTGACATGCAGCCAGGCAAGCTTGGTGGAGCACCGCTGCGAGCCAGCGTTGACGTGTTGCAGTCCTTGTCTTGCAGGGCGGTGGACATCCTGAGGACAGCGTCGGCCACCAGCCACATGCGCCTTCTTATAGCCCGCGATGACGACGCCAGGTAAGGGGTGCCATCTCACACCGGGAAGGGGGATCGCAGCACTTGGCAGCGCTATAGCTGGACTGCCTTTGAGCTAACAGGGCTCAAAGACCGTGGTGAAGATGGAGGTGGCCAAGGGTCTTTGATAACTCTACACTGGTGGGAACATTCTGGAGCTGTAATGGGAAGGGAAGTAAAGCTGGTGGTTCCCAGCTGCAGATCTGGCTCCAGCCCAGCCTGTGCTGGGTCTGCGGGGCACCCCAGCACCAAGTAGATTTCCACAGGGGTTTTCCCAGCAAGGACCAGGGCAGCTCCAGCCTTGGCTGTAAGGTGGCACGGGCTCCTTGAGCTCTGCTGCGTGGTACTGAGCTGCCTATGGCTTCTCCTGTCCTGCACAGAGCTTTGGATGAAGAGGTAGAGGGACAGCAGGGTCTTCCCCTTCCTTTCCAGTTAGACACATTGAGTTAAGGTCTTCCTTCCCCAGAGGATTCCTCCTTCCCAGGCAGGATGAGCAGTTTCTCCCTGAAACCTCTCCCCTTCGCCACCCCCTGGAAAACCTCACTTTCTCTAGAGATGCTCGGAGGATTCAAAAGGAGAAGGGAAGTGTTCTGTTTTGTTTTGGCTGGATTTAAGCTGTGTGGGACAACGATGGTGTCATGAGAGAGGGGACAGTTGTGAAAACCAAGGTATGGGATTAGTGGGGTCCTTTGCTGGCATCCACCGGGAGACCTCACGCAACATGCTGGAGCATCCTCTCCCCATTGGCAGGTCTGGAAACTTGAGGTGCACCAGGAGCCACCGAAATGAGAGTGGGTTTAGGCAGAGCATGGCCGTGGGCGGGCAGGCTGGTGGCACCAAGGCGTCGCACCGCGCGTGGGTGGCTGAAGATCACAGAGCCGTTTGCTCAACATACCCGCATCCCGTTAGCGTCGGTGATGATGGTTTCATTCCTTATCCATCAGCAGCTGTGGAGCATTAACTGCCTTAGAAGAATAGTGAGAGCGCTGTAATGACAGGGATGGGGCTAATTTTGACCCAGTAATATTCTGGTGGAAGAATTATTTGGTATTAATGACAGACGGCTTTTTACCTATGCTCTTCCGGTGAAAATAATATCTCAAATTATTGTATTAACGGTGAGAACTTCAGCAGCTGCTGAGGAAGCCCTGGGTGAAGCGAGCAGGTCACCAGAGCTAGACTTGGAAGTTTCACCTTCTTTTCGTCCAAGTAAGGACAAGCAGGATGTGCTTCCATGCCGCAGCGGTCCCTGCGCTTGCCTTCAGGGTGGAAGTGGCAGTGGGGCATCTCGTGATGTCCCCTCTCCGGGTGGCTGCGGCTGTGGCTGGAGCCGAGCAGCTCCTCATGCCCAGGTTTGGTCAGGGAAATGCTTTATTTCTCAGCCACCAAAGCAGGTTTTCTGCCTTCACCCATGCCGATCTGTTGCAAGCTGTTCAGGCGTCTCCTAATATCTTAAACTGCAGCAGATGTTTCTTAAAACATACGCACACGTGGCTTGGTCGGCGGCTCCAGCTCCTTCGCGCATCTGTCAGCAGTCGCCCTGCGAAGGAGCGGCTGGAAAACCGACCGAGGGGCACCGGGAGGGCGACGAAACTTTCAGCAATTTATTTGGCCTCCGTTTACCGCCGGTTATCTGTGAAACCCGCAAAAGGTTAGCTGGCAGGAGAGTGGGAAAGTCATCAGTTTATTTTTTTATTTTTTTTTTAAAGATTTGCAGCCATTTCATTACATAATCATCTCGCAAAGTGTTTAACACATGAACCCGTATCTCCAGGATTAAGGGCTGTGGAAACAGCGGAAGGGTTTTTCTGCTTTCTACTTTCTTATTTTTATTTTTTCCCTTAGTTTTGTCTTTAGTTTATTGACGCCTTATTAGCTTTTAATAGTCTGTCAAGTCTTTCGGTAGTCTCAAGTCTGACCTTGAGCGTGGGTGAGCAGAGAGCCCTCTGTCTGGGTGGAAACGGGCTCTCTGCCTTGCCAGCCCCGGAGGTGTGATACCCACGGGGATGCTGCGCCGGGAACTCCGGGAGCTGAGGGCAGCCTTGCACCTTCCCGCTGCCCGGCAAAGTGGCTCACGAGACCTGAAAGCCGAAGGAAGACACGGGGAGGAGTGTAATTCCATGTGTTTGCAGATACTCGCATGCAGGTCGCCTTCATAAACCCAGCACGCTGGAAACGGCTCCGGGTTTGGAAGACGATCCAACCCGCCTGCCAATTTTCCCAAATGACTCAGCTGAGGAGCATTTTGTTGTGGTTGCCCTGGGGTGAGTTTGACTCATCAACACTATTATTTGTCCCTGGAGTTAATTATAGGGCCCCAATTACCTGCGCTCTTAATGGAACTCAGTCCTGGCGTGTATGAGATGCATGTTTTCAGCCTGTCGCATCAGACATGCTGCAAAGAGTGGCAGTAATGCCAGAGCTTAAAGCAGAAAATTCAGATTTAGAGCTGGACACGCTGGATGACGGTTGGGTCTGATTTTCATCTGTGCTCATCTTTAGCTAATGAGGATAATTTTATTGCATACGCGTAATTATTGTTTATTCATTCTCAGCCTGAAAGTTACAATAGTTCCTTGTTCCTATGCGTTGCACAGATATCATCCTGGTCTTTCAGGTTTATCACTGTGAGAAAGCCTGTTTGCGCTGCACCTCCTCGTCCTCGCATGATAAAATGCTAAATACGCTGCATCTCCGCACGACGTGTGCGGTCACCCCGGTGAAAATGGGGTACGGTGTTAGTAGAGTTTGCACAAGAAGCAGGAAGGAAAGCAGCCCGCTTTTCTGCAGACGCGTAACCGATGTCCACCGATATCCAGGCATCAGCCAGAGTTCATGCCCAGCCTGGTGGGAATGTGAGATAATCCCTTTTTTTCGTGTGTGCGGCAGTGGCGGCTCAGCCCACAGGTTGGTTTGAGCACTGGGTGCTGAACTGGAAGGCGGTGGTGGGGACGACTCCTGCAAGCCGGAGGTGTCCCAGGGTCATTGGGGACAAAGGAACCTCCTTTTACAGAGAAGCCGAGATGCAGCTGTGCCCGTCACCACTTCCCCATCACTTACGGAAAAGCAAAGCCCAGCAGCGGCGCCATGTGCCGGTCCAGCACCGCCGGGGGAATTGCTGCAGCTGCCGCGAGCCGGGCGCGAGAAAATCTCCTTTTGTGATGTTTTCGCAGTGCTTCAGGTTCAGGGTTGCCGCTGACCTGCAGGCTTTGGGTTGGTTTGGGGTTTTTTTGAGACAAGCTATTAATTGACCCAGTGTCACAGGCTCTTCTTCCTCCCCCAGCTGCGGCGCGGAGCTGGGGCTTCCCAACGCTGTGCTCTCGCGTAACCTTTGATGCAGGATTCACCCTCCTTCTCCCAAGAACAAAAGGGCAGGACGAAAAGGTATTATGAGATAAAACAACAATATTCTGCAGGAAGATTGACCCCCCGCTGCTTAATCTGCAGCAAAGTCGGCCCACAGCTGGCCGCTGCTGGCAAACCCCGTTATCCCCCTCCATGCCGTGGGGCCGGCTGAAGGCTGTGCGGGTCTGACCTCTGTTACGGGGATCCTCCAGACCTCAAATGTCTGTATCTTAATGAAAAAGAGCCGGGGAAGGGATTGTTAAAATCGACTTTCCGCCTGATACAACCCCATGGATTTATTTATTTATTTATTTGTTTTAAATAAAGCTGGGCATTTTAGTCCTGCAGGCATCTGGCAATTCAAAATGGTTTAGCAAGGGTCAGATTTTAAATATTAAAGACATCGTCTGAAGTCTCTCGGTGTCTGAAAGCACAAAGCAGGACTTGCCG